CCTGCTGCAGGCTCAGGAGTGTGTTGGAGGCATACTGGACCCGGCTCTCAGCGTGTTCCTGCCAAAAGATCTGGCCTTGAATCGCAATCTTATCGATGAGGAGCTCCACAGGGCTTTGAGCAAAAAACCCGCCTGCTACCTGGATCCAGCTTCAGGAGAGAAGATCAGTTATGATGACCTCCGGAAGCAGTGCACGGTGGAACCTGTTTCTGGCCTGCTTCTGATCCGTGGTCCAGAAAAGCCCATGACAGTGAAGGGTATCCGTGGTGAAGTCTCCGTCACAGATCTCATCAACTCTGAGCTGCTGGATGAAACTGACTTGCAGAAGCTCAACCAGGGCAAACTCACCAGTAAAGACATTGAAGACAAGCTAAAGTCCTATCTCCATGGCTCTACCTGTATTGCAGGCGTCTACGATGAGGCTAATGACAGAATACTGCCTTTTTATCGTGCAATGAAGGACGGTCTGCTCATGAGAGGAACCACCCTGGAGCTTCTTGAGGCCCAGGCTGCTTCTGGCTTTGTTGTCGATCCCGTCAACAATGTCTTCTTGACAGTGGAGGAAGCCTCAAAGAGAGGCCTGATAGGGAAGGAGTTTAAGGGTAAGCTGTTGTCTGCAGAGAAGGCAGTAACTGGATACAGAGACCCAGAGACAGGAAAGACAATCTCCCTCTTCCAGGCTATTGCAAAAGATCTTATTGAGAAAGGTCATGGAATCCGACTGCTTGAGGCCCAGATTGCCAGTGGTGGGATCATCGACCCTGTTGAGAGCCATCGTATTGATGTTGATGTTGCCTATAGAAAGGGATATTTTGATAAAGAAATGAATGAAATCTTAACGTATGAAGGTGATGACACCAAAGGGTTCTTTGATCCTAATACCAAGGACAACTTGACATATCTTCAGCTGAAGGAAAGATGCATCACAGACAGCAAGACGGGCCTCATCCTCCTGCCACTCAAAGACAAGTCGAAGCCCCAGAAGTCCTCCGAAAGCCGCACCAACGTCCTCCGCAAAAGGCGGGTTGTCATCGTTGACCCAGACACCGGGCTGGAGATGTCAGTGAGAGAGGCCTACCATCGGGACCTAATTGACTACGACACTTTCCTGGAGTTGTCAGAGCAGGAGTGTGAGTGGGAGGAAATAACTATCAAGGCATCAGACGGCTCTGCACGTTTGGTGATAGTGGACAGGAAAACTGGAACCCAGTATGACATCCAGGACTGCCTGGACCGCGGCGTCATTGATCAAAGGTCTCTGGATAAGTATCGTGCTGGAACCCTAACCTTGACCCAGTTTGCAGATGAAATTACCAGCAAAACCAGCAGCTCTGAGATGGTCATTGCAGCCAGCAACGTTGACGACATGGTCACCTGCAGCAGCCCCACGCAAGCCAGACCATCCTCTCCCACCGTCCGCAAACGCTTCAACAGCATTTCTATTACTGTCTCTCCCCCTGAGATGTTCGATGACCAGAGCCCTGTGGCTGCCATATTTGACACGGAGACCCTGGAGAAGATTACAATCCCAGAGGGACTCAGAAGAGGCATAGTTGACACTATTACAGCACAGAGACTGTTGGAGGCCCAGACATGCACAGGCGGCATCATCAACCCTGCTACTGGCGAGAGACTGTCGCTGCAGGACGCCGTCCATCAAAGCATCATTGATGACAGCATGGCAATGAAGCTGAAACCTGCCCAGAAAGCTTTCCTTGGTTTTGAGGACGTGAAAACAAAAAGAAGGATGTCTGTAGCAGAAGCGGTGAAGGAGACGTGGCTGCCTTATGAGGCCGGCCAGAGGTTTATGGAGTTCCAGTACCTGACGGGAGGCCTGATAGAACCCGGCTCCGGCCGTCGCATCACCATCGAAGAGGCTATCCGCAGAAGCTGGCTCGATGGTCTAGCAGCCCAGAAGCTTCAGGATGGTCGGAGCCACCAGAAGAACCTGACCTGTCCCAAGACCAAACTGAAGATCTCCTACAAAGAAGCCATGGACAGCTGCATGGTGGAGGAAAGCAACGGTATGAAGATGCTGCAGGCCTCCTCCATGTCCACGAAGGGCATCAGCAGCCCCTACAACGTCTCTAACCCCGGCTCTCGCTCCGGGTCCAGGGCCGGTTCTCGTGCCAGCTCCAGGAGTGGATCTCGGAGAGGCAGTGTGGATTATTCCTCCACCTATTCGTACAGCTTCTCTTCCAGCAGCACATATAACTAGATTAGTTGTCGCCGGCAGTTCTTGTGCAGCTCGACTACTTTATAACAGTTTTGCTTTTTTTTAAAAATGTTTTCTGCTACTTACAAAAATTTGGGAGGGTTTTGTTTGTTTAATTACTTAATCTGATTTTGAATTCATTAAAAAAAGTGTTGCTGTTTTGCAGTTTTTGATGATTCAGTGTCACAATATTAAATGCTGAGCACTATTCACACTCCTGTCATAACACACAGATGTTAAATGGATATATTTGTCATAGTTCATTTTAATATATAGCTTTTTATAGAATGTTAAATGCCTGTTGACCTCAGATTCAGCATGGTCTCAGAATTAATTGTGCTTTTATTTTTTTTTGCTATTGTTATTTTGGTTATTGCAGGTTGATTCATGTGTTGTTTTTTAAAAGAAAACATTATTTGTTAATTGCAAATGCGGAGGTTTAGCTTAAAATGTCTGTTTGACAAAGTAGCGGTCATCTAGTAAAATTCTTTGCCACTAAAATGTTACTCTTGAGTGATTACAAATAAAGTTGTCAAAGCAATTTTTATGCATTTATGTGCTCATTCATTCATGCATTCATTCACACCAGCTGCACTGTGCATCAAAGATTAGATTCAGAATCATATTTATTGCCAAGTAGCTTTTCATATACACGTGTCTGATGTGGTGTTTTGTTGCATAACAGTAATTAACACATATATGAAGATAAAAGACATTACAGGTATTGACAGAACTAAATGCACATATAGAAATCATATTTTTCAAAAGAGCATTTTTGAAAGAATAGTTTAAAAAAATGTGTTGCAAGTCAGTAGAGAGTAAGTGCTACAAGTCAAGTCAACAACAAATGCAAATCTAAGGTATTTTAAAAGTAATATAAAGTGGCAGAAACATTTACAGTAGAAATGTACAAATAATTATAAAATCTTTAAGTTGCACATCTGTTTGACTTCTATGGCACATTTTAAATTTTAAACAAAGGCTGTGAATAAAATGGTGCTCTTATGATGTAGTTGCAGACTATATTGTCAAAAGTATTTGCAAACAAAATTTGAATTTCACCAACAGTGCATGAAATGTCAGAACTGAAATTGAATGATATTACCAAATAAATGACCATGCATTAAGTATTGTAGGCTGATTTGATTACCTGCTACAATGAGGATTTGTAGGGGGGGAGTAGGGTAAGATGAGCCAGTTTTTTCTTGAGGTGTCTTTACAGTGGGGGCATGACAGTAATGTCTAGAAATAAGACATGTACATCTCGTTCTGGACGTGGGGCGTCCCTGGGAATAATTGGTTTGGATCTAAAATAAACTGTTTTTAAAATATGGCTTTCTTGGCTCAACTTGACTCGAGCAAGGGGTAAATTGAGCTTTTGGAGAAAACATGTCGGGGTAAATTGTGCTATTGATTGTGTTGAAGTAAAATTTAAAATTTTATACCTCATATAAACCAAACAAGACAAATTCAATACCAAACGATGAATTCAAAGTTGTATTTAAAGATAAAATGTAAAACTTTAAAGGCCAGTTTCCTACAATAAGGCCCACAGATGACAAATGTTGGAACAAAATCATGTTAAAAATGAACTTTACTGTCACGTTTACAAAACTGATATTCAACATACAGTCGTCCTCAAATGTATTCATAGCCTCCCATTAAAGAAGGAAATAACAGCTGTCAGTGAAATAAGTTGAAACTGACAAAAGTAGTAAATTAAAAAAAATATGAAAATCATGACATCGCTTTTGAATTATGGTTCAATATTTTAAAAACAACAGCCAAACAAGCATGATGGGACTCGTGAACTAATATTTAGTTGAACAACCCTTTGAGCCAATCACTGCCATCAGGTGTTTTCTGTAACTCTCAGTCAGACTTCTGCACCTGTTGACAGGTGTTCTGGCCTCCTGCTCATCAGCAAAGTGCTCTCATTTGCTGGAATTATTATTATTTTTTTAATTATTATTTTCAACCACAATGCAAAGCAACATCTTACTTCACTAAATTATAATTTAGCAAATTTTTATTTATTATTGCTTTCTTCAGTTTCTAGTTGTTTGAGTGACTATTGTGAATTTTGCCTTTTCTTTAATGGAAGGGGATGAATAAATCTATATAAAGGCTACAACTTTAAAGGCCGCTTGTCTTCAGTAAGGTCGAAGGATTTCACATTATTGGAACAAAATCCTGTTCAGCATGAGCAAAACTGACCCAACTGCTCAACAGCCATAAATAAAAAATAAAATCCAGTTCACAACTCCAAAGACCTATTTTCTTAGAAAGTTAGAAAAGATTAAAACTTGTCTGCAGTTCTCACAGAATTAACACAGAACATCCCGTTTGTCTTTACAAGCTGAGACACTGGGGGCTATATTAATAATATTACCATGATGACTATATGCATTTATTTAATCATATGCAGTCAGTGTGGGTTGTTCATTCTAGGATTAGGAGGACGATTAAATGGTTGATAAATATATATTCTACTAAATAAAAGATGACACCAATAGGATGATTTTATTCATTATCCAGTTAGGTTTTTTTTATTTTTTTTTGAGGGGGGGGGGGGCAGGAAGTTTCAGTCTGCGTGTGAGGAGCGAGGGTGAGAACAAATGGAGGGAGGCAGAGGGAGGGAGGGAGGAGGTGGAGAGAAAAGGGGGAGGGAACAGAGAGAGAGAGAGAGAGAGAGAGAGAGAGAGAGAGACAGCCAGTGGGAGGACTATCCATGCCAGGACTTGTGGTGGCTGCAGCGGCAGCCTGGACTGGAGGAAGAAGAAGAAGAAGTGTTGAGAGGAGCAGCAGCAGCAGCAGCTCAGGAGCCGAGCGAGGAGGACGTGTGTGTGTGTTTTCATTTACTGTTATTATCTACAGAGGAGCGCAGCTGGAACAAAGTCAAAGTCCTGCGACCAGCCTGAGAGCAGAAATCCTGGAAAATGAGGCTCTCAGGCTGCACTAAGCCTGTATGACGGGCTGAGAGGCTCTTTGACTCAGGACTTCAGCCCAGTCTGTCTCTCTTTCAGCAGCCTGGACTCACAAAAGGGAATCAGAAAGAAAAAAAATAGGAGGAAGGAACCAAAAAAAAAAAAGCGCTCCTTTCACTTTGAAAAGGTAAGTGTCTGAACTTTTCCACGGTCAATCATTAGCACCGAGGCTTTTTTTTTTTTAAAGTCACTACTTAAAAGCAGGATTAGACTTCCAGAACCTTTCAACTTTTCTTTTCTTTTTTCTGTTCCTTCCCCTCCTCTTCTCTTCAGCCCTTTGCTCTTTCACATTTCATGGAGTTTGCTCATTTATTCAATGAGTAAAAAAAAAACAGGCCACTGCTCTCTGTATTTACTTTGGCCCAAAGCACTGATGTGTGTGTGTGTGTGTTAGTGTGTGTTAGTCTGTGTGTGTGTGTGTGTCTAAAGTCAGAGAAGGGACTCATTCATACTGAGCATAAAACTGATCTTGTGGTGTTTTTTTCTCCTTTTTTTGTGTAAATGTGAAAGCCTTTGAAATGGACTGACCTCTTGGAGTCTTTTTAGCTTTTTAAACGTCTTCCTCAGTGAATTGTGTTCTGCAGTGGCTCTAATTTGGGGTTCCATGCTGTTGTGGGCTCTGGTGCACTGAGGACCTTTATAATGTGAAACATATGGGGCCATTCTTGTGCCTCGTAGCCGCCAGTCTGCGGCGTTCCAAAAGAAATACAGTGGATGAACGATGGAGGGCAAAAAGTTCTGCATTGGAGCTGAAGCTGCTTGACGGTATTTGCAGCCTCGGGGGGGATCCTGAGCCACCTATTGTGGAGGATGACATGTACAAGTGTCCTTACATCACGGCAGCCCGTCTCCACCTGGATGTCTGTCTTTTTTCCCTCCTTGAAAATCAGACACACACCTGCATTCGCAACATAAACCATGCAGGTTGTTCCGAGCATTTCTTTTTTTTTTTCTGCAGAGCTAAACTCTTTCAAGATTAGCTTTAATTACAGGGGAAAGACAGACAGGAGAAACATTTTTTTGAACTGGCAATTATAGCTTTTGTTGCTGGTTCTATTTTCAGGGTCAGGAGCGAACGATATCTGGAGAAGGTCAAAAAGAAACTCAGGAACACAAGGTGTACCGTTTGTTTTTCTTTGCTGATAACAGGAGGAAGTTACAAAAGGGGGGCCGGCGGAGCGGCACATGAATGGAGATCCTGATAGTGTGGTTTGGACAGGTGGGTTGTGTACTGTAAGCAGAACACTGTGATCCCAGCATGAGACGGAGCACCGGGGCATTTCACATTGTCACAGCAGCGCCACGGCCACTCGGTTGACATGTGTAAGTCATTAAACGGAGAGGAGACCTGGAGAAGGGAGGAGAAGCAATAAAGGGGGCGAGAATGGCAAGAGAGAAAAAGGGGGGAAAAGAAAAAAGGGAGAGAGTGAGAGTGGGAACGTAATCCATTTTGGGACGCATTCCACTATGACCTTGGGATAGAAAATGGTAATTAGGGAACACTTTTAAAAATCCTTAAGGGTGCACAGATTTGCTCGGAGGCAGGACTATCATTTTTATTTCCCCCCCTTTCGAAATATCTCGTGAAAATGTGAGACAACTACATGCTAGAGTTCCAGGCGTAGAAAATAAACTTGCTAAAAATACCCTGCACCCACTTTCTGTGGCTTTTTCTTTTTTTTTCTCTCTCTCTCTCTCTTTCCTCAATAGTTCTCATGGTTTGTTTATTTCAGTTCTTCGGCGGTGAATGGGTGTCAAAGCCACAGCATAAACATACAGAGCCCCTGACAGGAAAAGGCCAGAACAAACTGTGGCCTTGTCCCTCTCTGGGCCCTTAACAGAGCCCGTCATGTCACTGTGGACATGTTACCCCCGCGGTACGAGGCCCGGTCCCGTGCCAAGCGCAAACACAAGGCGGTTTGGAACAGTGGAAGCTGATGGTATCGAGGTTATTAAATGGCTATTAGATGCTAAATACCAACAGGGGGCTGCAGCCAGACGACAAGGGGCGAGAAGCAAATCTGTTCCGCTTGTAGAGCTCCTGTCATCTGATGGAGTGGTAAACAAGCATGAATGGGGCTTTGTGCAAACACATGAAGGTAATAGCAAAAAAAACATGCTAAAAGAAGTTCAGTCCAGCAGCCAGCCTGCAGGCAGCCAGACTTCCTGCAGCATTTATGGTCCTTTAGGTGTTGCTCAGGTTTGCTGACAAACAGCTTTAGAGATCATTAATGCGTCCAGAGTCTCCCAACGGGACAGTAGCGTACTGTACATAGAGCTGCTGTTTCCATTGGTGCAAAAGCAGACGCCGTTCCTACACGCTGGGCTTCTCCGAGCACCCCGCTTCAGCTTCGTAGGAGATAAAGTGTTGGAGGCGAATGATGAACGTCAGAGCACCCAGTTTCTCGCCACAGACACGTAATTTCAGTTTCAAAATATTCAAGTCGTCTCAAAATGGAGGCCACAACATGTCAATCATAGGCCAGGAGTTTGAGCCAACAGAAGCAGTTCAGATTGATTTCAGAGTGTGAATGTGGGGGTGGGGGGGCTTGATTGCTTTCATATGGGGGCAGACGTAATGCTGTATGTTGGGTTTCTTCTCTCTCATCTCATCTCGTGCTTATTTGCAGTTAGAAATGGTTTAATTGATTACATAGATCCAGTAAGATGAAAGCTTGGTGGCTGCAGCTTTAATTCCTGATTTCATTGCATCACTTTTGGCTTCAGTCAGACAGAATTCCATAGTTTTGGGCTCTGATGGTGGCTTGTGGTGGGTATTTGTTATTATTTTTGACGTTGTACAGACTAAACATCAAACCTAATGTGGAATAAATACATTGGTCATGGAAAGATTCTCCCCGTTTTTAGATTTAAAAAAAAAAAAAGCAAGCAGCCTTCGCCTTGAACTTGTTAATTAACATTCTTCTATCCCTCATCTGATCAAGGCTCTTCCTCTGTGCTGTGTTTTCCCTCCATTGGTTTGCAGAAATATATCAAAACAATGTGCGCGCTGATGACCACAGTGAAGTCACTGATGGAAAATGCAGCGAGGAAGGCCGTAGACACGCAGCGACCGACAGACTTTCACATGAACGGCTTCGGCTGCTGCGGCTCCGGAGACTCTGATTATTTGCGACGGATAAGTACGCAAAGTTTTCGCCCGCCGCCGCGGACTCAAAGAATGAAAACAGCCATGAGGTCACCGCTCACATGACGAGGCTGGGATTTAACCCACGAGGCCCGACTGGCAGACGTCTGCATTCTGAGACGGTGCTCGCCGCACTTTAGGTCCGATTACATGATGCCTCTTCTTTTATCTCGCGGTTCACCTGCTTGCACAGAATGGAAGATTCCATACAGTGTGGGCCAGGTGAAGGGTGTGGCTCCTGAAACAGGAACAGGGCTTCGTCCCGGCGCTGAAACGCTCCGTCCCACTCTGCCCTCTCTCCTCGCATTCTTTTCCCTCACAAGTGGAATGTTTGATTAATTTATTTTCAGAGTTTGGGCAATTGAAAGAAAGGCATTCGGAGCGAGCGATGGCCGTGCATGTGTGAACGTGGCTGACAGCACCGGCGCAGCCTTAGTCAAGCACTTACCTGCAGGGGTTTGGAGCTGGGGGGAGCCAGACACACCCTAATCCCCCAACATCCTGACCTTAGCAAACCTGTCGCGGCTTGCTCGCCGTAGACCTGGCAACCCGTTTCCTCGGGATCGCCCTGCCTACCCATCTCCTCCGCCAGCCTGCGCTCTCACAGTGCCATGGGTGGGCTCGTGGATTTGAGTTCCTTGGCACCGCTTATTCTGCCTTTGTGAACTAATGCTGCGCCTGAAACCAGGAACAAAAGCAGTCAGTGCAAATTAAAGACCAATTATCTTTCAGTGCGTGCCGGGGCAAGTCGCTCGCGTTGGTTCCAGTGATGAGTGGGAGAAGCGAGAGGTTGTAGCCGAAAAATGACGCTGATTACCGTGATGAATGATTCATGTGGAATTATTAGGCCTCAAATTGATATTTAGAAGTTGTACGACTTATCAAATGAATTTGCTGTTTGTGGGTTTGGACAATCCAGGCTAGCGGTCCGTATCTTCAACTATGTGAAAAGACAGCTGATTGTTAACTTTATTTTTACCTAATCTGTACGACAGTAGGGTTAAACTTTTCCTCTTTTTGCAAGAAAGTGATACCTCCCAAATTTTCAAACTGCTCCTTTAAAACTGATTTTTCAGCTAGTGATTGTAAATTAATTCTTTCACTCCCCCGGGTCACCCAGAGGTTAAGTGTTGGTTATATTCCCTTTCCCATCAACAGTATTTTGACACTTCCAAAATATTCCCGTGCCGCGGCCCTGCCCTGGACACACACAAAGCCCAAGCGCTGGCCGATGTGTTCATTAATTTCCCATTAGTCAACAGTTTTTCCTCAGACTCGCAGGGGAAATAGACTAACCCTGCCATTAGTTCCAACAATCCCTGAGGACCTCTTCTCCCCCCTCCTGCCTCCACCACCACCACCTCCAACCAACCAACCAACACACACACAAAACACAGGCCAGTTTCCCCGAGTGATGACCTCTTCACATGGCCTCTTTCATTCCGCTCTGAGGGTTGGTTTAAGCCGCGGCCACACTGTCCCCGGTTTATGCCTCCCTCCCTGCGCCCCCCCATCCCCTTCAAAGCGACGGCTACCCCGGTAGCCTGCAGTCATCTCGCACTTAATTGACGGACGCATTCTTCGACTGCGGATCATTTCATCACAACAAACAATCGGGGGTCATTCAAGAAGGACGATGATATCTTTGGCAGCCGTAGGAATGCGTTTCTGTTTTGTTTGCGAGGGCGTGTTTGCGGAAAAATCGAGAGTCTGAGACAGTAATTGAGGCTGGATTGAGGAGTGTGGATCAGTTGTGTTTTTAATTCAGGGTTTGGTTTGGTTTACTGGTCGTATTTCAATATTAATAGAGTTTAACACAGCATCATAAAGCTGAATGATTAGCTGATTAATTAGTAGTTTTTCTGACTGCCTGGGGTTTATTTCTACGGTTCTACTTTCCTACATTTGAATGTTTGTCCTCCCATATTGTAGGACGTTTTCTTTTTCTGACACAAAATGGTCAAACGGTTAATAAAGAAAATAATTAGCAGATTCATAGAGATAGGGAGAGATCAACCGTGAGGAAATGTTGGAGTGTCTGACATTAAAAAGAAATATTAGACAACAAAAAAGAACATTATCGCTCACAGTAGACAGCAGTTCTATACAGTTATCAATGAAAACACACTCCGATGTCCACATTCGATGAGGCAATCCTGTCTAGATGGGATTGTTCATGGGTTGTCTTAACCGTAGGAGGATTTTACTTCCCTTATTCAACAGAAATCTATGAGCATACACATGACTGGAGTATTTACCCAACCTTACAAGCTACACTGATTCACGCCTGTAAACTCCTCCCACCTGCTCGATGAGTAAATATAGCCTCTGGATTGGCTTTGTGTTGCACACTGCTGGCTGTGTATTTTCATTTTTAGCTCATCTACTGGTTGTTTTGTTTTTACATTTACAGACTGCATAGTGTTTCATCTTTTTTTGGGCATTTTCTGACACCAAACATGCTCATTTCACCATCTTTTGAATTCAAAAAACAGATGTGGAAGTGGAAAATGTTCACCTAGAAGTGCCAACTGTTTCGTTTCCATTTGTTAGTCGACTTCGATGCTACTTTTGGCAGCGGGCAGCAGCTTGCGGGCAGCAGCTTGCGACCCTCCAGCTGACAGGCAGCGCTGGGAGGCCGGCAGAGAGATTTCCAGATAAGAGAGTCAGGGATGTGTCTGTGGTGGGGTGTGGTGTGGTGGCAGCGGGGGGCAGGGAGACAGGCTCCCTCCAGACCACCACAGCAGGAAGTTCATGGCCATGAGGTCACAGGGACACGCCATCACTCAGGGATTTACAACAACTGGTTCCAACCGGAATTCTTTCAAAGTTTTTTCCCCTCCTCTTGTTACCGTTGCTCCAACTGACTGACCCCCGATAACTAGATTGTTGGTGTTTTGATTTTGATTGTCCTGCAGCACAAAAAGTCCTTGATGCCATGGTTCATGTCGGGTATTTGTGACACACAGTGTTGACCGTTGCTGTGCAAACAAGTCGTCCTCCGTCACACGACGTGGAGCTGAAGTCATTCTCTATAGATGTCTGAGGGAAGCCTGTGACTAAAGCTCAGGACTTTGACCATCAAATATTGACTTGAGTGAAGTCGCCTGCTTAAAATAGGAAGCGTGTTGGAGAACTGTAGGCCCGTATCATCCCGTGTCTCTGCTCTGATTTGTTTTATTTTTTAAAACCTAACAGGAAATCCCAGGATCCACACGATGGAGGAGGGATACGAACTCGACCTCACGTACATCACGGAGCGGATCATAGCCGTGTCCTTCCCCCGGGGCTGCTCGGAGGAGATCTACTCGCACAACCTGAAGGACGTCACGCGAATGCTCAAGTCCAAGCATGCGGATAATTACCTGGTCAGTGCCCGAGCCGAGTGTCAGAGTGCAAACGGTGCTGATGTCAGGGGCTGATGGGATTTCATGGGGTATTGACGTGAGAGTATTGATCTCTGAGGGCACGACTTTAGCTCAGATGCAGTCATCTCAGAGGCAACATTTTTAATCATCTGTTTTCTTTAGATTATCAACCTGTCGGAGAGAAGACACGATCTCTCCAGAATGAACCCAAAGGTAAGTTCATGTAGAACGTCCATCCTCTTTGATCATCTCCGTCTAACCAGCTGCTGCAGACAACATATTATTGATTGCTAATGCAAGAAGGCAGTTGTGAGAATCAGTGTGTTTTGTTTTTTTTTAGACCCTGGATACAGGCTGGCCCGACCTGCACGCTCCACCTCTGGATAAGATCTGCACCATCTGTAAGGCCATGGAGAGCTGGCTCAACGCTGACCCTCTACATGTGGTGGTTATACACTGCAGGGTGAGCATCTGTGGGCTGCGAGTGTCAAATTCAAGTTATTCATGTAGAAATTAATCACATTTCTAACGTCCATAAAGAAATAGTGAGAAAAAAAATCCTCCAAGGTGTTTTTTATTGTAAATTTAACTCTCAAAAACTGATTTTCTTTGTTCAGATTTTATTGATTTGTGACCAAAACAATCCATCAACTCTCATCAGATTCTGATTCAAATCTTCCTTAATCCCAGTTTTCAGTCCAGCCAGTGACGGAAAGCACAAAAAAACCCAGTAGTCAGTCGTGGGAAACAAACAATAAGATTCTAACTTTGTCAGAAAATCGTGTGTTTATGGAGGATCGAGATGCAAAATACGCTTTTTAAAGCCTTTTAAAACAGACCAAAACCAAAAGTGGTGCATGTGTAATGAATCATCTCTTGTGTTTCTTTTTCAGGGAGGCAAGGGTCGGATTGGTGTCGTCATTTCATCCTTTGTGCACTTCACCGACGTGTCGGCCAGGTAACCGCCACCATGTGTCACAGGTCTCGTGTTGTGTTACTATAAATGTTGTTTGTTTTTTTTTGCCGGGGTTTATCGTAAGATGAGCGCACCCGCTCGCTTTTGGCAATGAGCAATATCAACAACAAACCGCAACAATCCACAAAGACCGATTTTTGCAGACCGTAAGTGATGTCATCGCTTAACCACGGCTGATTTATTTGCATCCTTTCATTTCGGGTTAAGGTGACTCAGAACGCGAAGAAAGTCACCTCCTTCGGATTCAAAGGAAAACCACACGGCTGAGGCTTTGAATCACCTCGTATCAGGTTGCATGAATCAACGCAGAAACACGCTAGTTGCAGCGATGCCTCCTGGCCGCAGTGTCAGTTTCATGAAGTGTTTTCGAGCGTGAAGAAAAACCGATTCTCTAAGCGTGAGGCGAGTTCAGAAGTGCTGCGGCTTTTGAGGAAACCCTGGTGTTACACCGCCGAGCAGATCCTCGAAACATGACCAAAAAATCTCTGCTGTCCTTCGTGTTTGTGTCCCCGCTGAGGACTCGGTCAGGTGAAAGACAGAAAAAGAGGAGCAGAGGAAGAGAGGAAAACAATTTACAATGGCACAGATTCAGGGGGGGCAGCAGAGGGAGATGGCCGATGAGCGAGAAACAGAGCTGTGGTGAAAAGGCTCCAGCGCCTGTTGGTTTTAGGTCCGTCTGAATAGCCAAGCTGTGCACACACTCTGGCCTCTCTCCGTCCTCCTCTCCCCCTCTGTGTTTGCTTAAGGCTGGCATTCTCTTCCTCTCTGCTGGAATCCTCTGTCTCTCTCCACTTACTTTCCCTTTTTTTTTTTCTCTCTCTCCATTATATGTGTGTGTATTGGAAGTTAGGGGGTTGACACCGTTCAATTATGGAGCAGTATAGAGTGTAATCTCCCCGTTGAGTCATAATTACCTCAAAAGTGTTTAACCTGTCTCTCTGTCTGTCTGTCTCCCTTTTTTTAAAGTGCTGATCAGGCGTTGGACCGCTTCGCCATGAGGAAATACTACGATGATAAGGTCTCAGCTCTGATGACACCTTCGCAGAAGCGGTAAGACCCAAAACACAAGCACGCCCTTCTGTTCTGTGGCGTACATCTAACCGTGTGTCGTTTAAATGGAACCATCCAAAACACCTGATTCACTAAAAAAAAAACGTCCCGGTGCCTGTTTTTTAGCTTAAAGCCCGTCATTGTTGGTGGTTTTTAATGAGATCCCACGGTGACCTGGTGTAATCCTAACCCTGCAGACTCTTTCTCCTCGTCGTCTTGTTTCCGTGTTTATTGGTGATAAAACTGCAATAGTTTTGGTTTGATGCGGCGCCGACTCAGTTGCACTTTGTGTGGTTTTTCTGTTATGTAATTTTACGCTCATGTTATGTAATTTTATGTGGCTCGAGAATGTTCTTCAGAATTAATAAAGTTTTATCTTATCTTATCTTTGTGCTGATTTAGAGGTAGTAGACGGAGCCATTTCTCCTTTTCTTTTTCATTAGTCCATACAAAGCTAAGTCCCTCCATAATAGACATAAAGACGTGAGAGTCGTCTCCATGTTCTTGTCACAAAAGCAAATTGAATGAAATTTTTATTTTCCAAAAAATAACCTGATGACGTCATAATGATGAGCGTTTGAGTTCCTACCTGGAAATTTTTTCAAGAAATGCCTGTAGTTTATTCTGCAGGTGTGACGGCTAGGAGACATTTGTCAGGCGGGGAAGATCTAATGAGAAAACATTATCAAGTTGCATGAGGAAAAAAGAAACAGCCGGCATTTGTGACTGATTGAAATGTCAGGATATCTTTTCCTCTGTTGCATTTTTTATAATCTGCATCTCGGTATTTCACCTTCCTTAAGAAAGTTTAGACATTAACCTCTTAAGACCTGGCGTCCTCATGC